GAGGTGCGTTGTTATGTCATCTTTGGGGTGCATCATTGCATCGTACTAGAGGTATTTTTTTACATTGTCTTCGGGGTGTATTGTTGCACCGTATTTGGTGTGTGTTATTACACCATCATCGGAATGCAACTTGCACCGTATTTGGTGTGTGTAGTTGGGTGTGAGGAGGGGTAGGGTTTATTTATATAATCCAGATTGAAAATAAAGAAGAAATCTGGACCAATCCATCAGACGACCAGGAGAGGTTATTTCAAATGGATGGTGTTCGGTGGACCTTTAAGTGCCTTAATGGTCAGAAGTGAGTGATCTTGGGGTCGTTGGATTCTTTTTGTCGAGACGATTGATTTAACTATAAGCATATCAGATTCATTATCTGTTTGACGTTCCACTTATATAGTGAAAACTTTTCAAAAAAGCGGTTTAATGACATGGCATGTGTCTGTTTTGACTCAGATTAGAATAATTTTAGTTTGATTGTAAGTTTGCTGAAATCGGAGTTCTGGATAATTTTTAAGCAAATTTTGAATATCTTTAACTAAAAAATTTTCATCTAGATATGTGTCATGTCTCCAAATTCATGTCAAATAATGTCTCGAAATTCATGTCACAAGATGAGAATTTGTTGATGGGATATCCGTGATAAAATTTATAAACATCTCTTTTGTAATCATCTTTAAAATAATAATAGTCAGCTCCGAAATATGAATTAGAAAATCTTAAGTCATAATTAAGAAATAACATCTGATGAGTCTCTCTTACTTCGGAATAAATTACACATTAAATCACGTCTTTAGTTTCATCCGCATAAATAATTGGCAATTACATACGCTACATTATTACTATTTACAAATCTAGCACCCTACTTCATTCATTGATCAAATTCTCATCCCTCAAATACCAAAATGCACGACAAAATCTTAACTTATATCTTTCATTTTTATCAAATCTTCAGTAATTTGATTGTGCCACACAAATATATCGATTATATAATTAAAAAATATCAATTATGTAATTTATAATTATCATCTGAAGCTAGATTTTATAAATGGTAACGTTTTGGCTGTTCTATATGTAATTATTCCTGAATAACTGGTAGCTCTGTTATAAAACCCCGAGCTCTGAAACTTGAAGAGCGCCTCATGAGATCGCTAGAACTCTGAAAGGCAGCAGCTGCCTTCTGCACTTCACAAACTATCTTTCTCCCCAGTTTCATCGCCTCAGTTCGATCGGAATCCTTTTTTTTTTCTTTTCTTTTGGCGTCAGGTTAAGTTCCTTCCTCTCGAAGTCGAAATTGGCATGCCTAGAAAGTCAGCTCACCTTTCTTCTTAGTTACTCCTTTGGAACCCAAAACCGAAAAGTGTTCCTTTTTATCCGAAAGTTTCATTTTTTTTCTGTACTCCATTCCTCGAAAGAAAGGGAGCTTAGTTTTCACGATACTTTTCCAAATTTGATAGAGTTGAGGAATATTGAGGCTGTGGTCGAGGTTTTTTGCGAGCGCTCTTAGAACATGAACCATTCTTTTTGATATCTACTCAGCTATTCTTTTGACTTACTTTAATGGAAACAGAGGGATTGATTCTTTTCTTTTTTAACGTACTGTACTCGTTTGTGTCTCTCATTGTGCGTTTTTATGGTTTGAAGGTTTTGGGGTTTTGGAGGGGAAAAGTAATGGCTGCCCCGGGGCAGAACTCTTCGCACCCTCAATTCATTACGAGTCATGGCAATCGGGAAATCTTTGGCGGTCCCTCTTCTCCTCTTATAGATGATGTCGAAACCGAGCAAATCATCGTTCCCCAGGTAGATTCTTTCCTGATTGAATCGCCTTCAAAGAAAAAAAGAGAGAGAGAGAGAGAGAGAGAGAAAACTCTTAATTTGGACGCCGAGTCTGCCAACCTCTCTTCTATGAGCTTATCTGTTTGATGAAATTTCTCAGTTAAAAGCTTTTTCCTGTTCACTTCGGAGGGCCATGGAATCACTAATATTGTTTAATTTCTTGACTGCACGAACTCAGCTATTGCTTGACAATTTGAATTAGAGTGAGTTGACTTGCTGGGGAGTTCATAGTTAAATATTATTTATAGCATTTAAAGTTGAAAGAAGTGCCTAGTGAGAACTTAATAGCTGTTTGCTCTTCCATGAATATGACGCATGCTCTGAATGCTCTAGCAGATATGCAAAGTTATGATTTTTTTTTTTTCTTTTGGAAAAAAATAATTTTTTCTGCACAAGTTATATAATATCCATGTCTTTGAACAAGTTATTTTCAAAAAAGGGTGTAATATGTTGCATGTTTGTAGGAAAGTGTAGGAAGTGTGATTGTGCATGTCATATGTTTAAAATATAATTTTGTTACTGTAAAAGCTTTTATCATGAATCATTGAGATGCTTAACATCTACCTTTTTCACAAGCTAGTGGCATGTTCCTACTTCCTATTTGATCTCTGTAAATTATTAGTTAAATTATGATTACTTTTCAGTTTCACCATATGTATATATCACAAAATTCACCTATGTTTTTAAGAACACAACCTAAGTATTTCATATTTTTCATAATCTTACCTTGACATATGATCTCCGTTTGCAGGAAAAAAGCTGGAAAAATTTATTTGTCTATATGGGTCCTGGATTTCTTGTTTCTATTGCTTATATCGATCCTGGAAACTGTAAGATGCTTCTTTTCTGAGCTTCATATTCTAACCCGCCTAATCGTTTATGTTCTTCTAAAGATATTATGATATATTAAAATATAGTTGAGACGGATCTACAGTCAGGAGCACAATTCAAATATGAGGTATCTCTGTCTCTGTCTCTGTCTCCCTCTCCCTCTCTCAAGCACACACATATACACTCATTTAGTATATCTCAATCATTGGAATCCAAACCTCTGCCTGTAGAGATGACTTTATATCATTCTATAGCTAATTGTTTTGCTCAAGTCATTCAAGTGCCAATAAAAAAAATAAACCAAAGGAAACTCACCTTGTTTGGAAATTATAACTTTGTGGGCAAAATACTAATTAAAAATTTAATATTTGTGCTTGTTTTTTTGCTCCTTCAGTTGCTCTGGATCATCCTCATAGCTTCAATTGCTGCACTCATCATTCAGTCTCTTGCAGCGAAGTTAGGAGTAGTAACAGGTGTTTGTTGTTCAGGGACTTTAACAGATTGCTGTACGGATCATGTTATCACGTATTAGATTTTGCACTTTTAATTGTGAGATATCTATTCTTTGCAGGAAAACATTTGGCTGAGCACTGTCGAGCTGAATATGCAACGGCTTCAAACTTTATTTTGTGGTTGCTCGCTGAGCTTGCTGTTGTTGCATGTGACATCCCTGAAGGTGTCGTTGATCTCTATTTAGTTTAATTAATCTCCCTTTTGATACCCAATATAATAATTAATATTTGAATTCTGTTAATTTGGTTCATATCACATGCATCAATCAAACCTCAAAATTTATGCATAATAATGAAGTTTATATCTTATTTGTCTATTAATTAGCACAAATTGAACTCAGCTAGAATTAGTTTTCTCTGAGTGAGCGATAGATGGACACAATTTTTTAACTATATAGAATCATTTCTTTGTTAACAATTTGAACTGTTACTTTTGACTAGATTAATAATATACGTTGAAGGAAGATTCAAGCTTTCTGCTAAAAATATAGATTTGTTGACTGATGCTGCAAAAGTAGTACAAAATTCACTTTCTTTGTTCTTTTGTGGCCCATAATGAGCTTCTTTTTGTAGTTAATATTGTGCATGCATTCTAGTGGAAAAATTGCTTTCAACCTATCTCTAATGTATTTTGTTTATGTTTAAACTGTAGTTATTGGAACAGCCTTTGCCTTGAACATGCTCTTCAGTATCCCAGTTTGGTGTGGTGTTCTCATTACTGGATTAAGCACCTTGCTTCTTCTATTTTTGCAGCAATATGGGGTATGTCAAGGAGTCTATATTTATACTTAGTGGTTTTAGCGATTGGGTTGCTATGTTTGAATTTAACTAGCTTTGATTGGTTCAAAATCAAGCAACTAGAAGTATAGAAAGAGTAAACCCACACGAGCTGGAATCCAAATCACTTCTTTGGTTTTAATTTCTAATTGGCTATGTAAATTAGGTTTAAATCCCTTTTGATTTACAAACTATACTCTACTTAGATGTTGGATTTGTTGTTTTGAAATAATAATGTGTATAATTTGTCCAAGACCTTAATTTTAGCCTAGAAGTATCCTCAAAGGCTGTTTTAAAAAAAAAAGAAATTATAATTAAATCAAATGACTTTGTAATCAGAGCAAATTAGTTTATCAGATTCTAATCAAGCCAGTTCTTTGTGTTTTATGCTTCAATGTTGCACCTATTTGATGAATGTCAAATTTATGAATGAAACATGCATTTAGATATATTAATAAGATGATTTCCTAGTAGTTTGCATGATTATAAAAAATACCGTGGCCTTATTTTTTACTATTGATTTCATAAGCTCTCTAAATGTTCTGCAGATCCGCAAACTTGAGTTTTTCATCGCTTTTCTAGTACTTATAATGGCTGCTTGCTTCTTTGTTGAACTTGGCTATGCAAAGCCACGGTATTCGGAAATAATGAAGGGATTGTTTGTTCCCCAACTCAAGGGAGATGGCGCTACAGGACTTGCCATATCTCTACTTGGTGCTATGGTTATGCCGTAAGCTCTGATTAACTTGAGCTATATTCATAATTTTTTTAATGCTTTTTTATTTTATTAATTGCATGTGATATTTGCAGACATAACCTTTTCCTCCATTCGGCTCTGGTATTGTCTAGGAGAGTACCACGTTCAGTTCATGGAACTAAAGTAAACTTCTAATCTGCTGATTGGTATTCTTAGCTTCTTGTATTTTTTGTAGTTATAGTCATCATTAAAGATGTTCTAAGTATGAACTAACTTCTTGTGATTCTTTGTAGTTATATTCATCAATATTTTGGATGTTTGGTTGTGGTAATTTGTTCTATAATCTATATTTATACATTATTTGTGACCTTGACAGGAAGCATGTAGGTTCTACACTTTAGAAAGTGCAATTGCTCTTTCTTTGGCCTTCCTTATCAATGTTTCTATCATTTCTCTAAGCGGAACTGTTTGCAGTTCACCATCTTTAAATCCAGATGATAAAATAAACTGTGAAGACTTAGATCTCAACAAAGCTTCTTTTTTACTAAGAGTAAGTCATTATCATATTGCTAAGTCTGGTTATTTTTGGTACATTAGTAATGTTCAAATGTGTAAATGCTAAAAAATGCTTCTGTTATCCATATTAATAAACTCCAAAATTGATTTATACATTGTTTTGTGCTATGAACAGAATGTCTTAGGTAAATGGAGTTCAAAACTATTTGGTATTGCTTTATTGGCATCGGGTCAGAGCTCTACAATCACTGGAACTTATGCTGGGCAATATGTTATGCAGGTTTTATTTGTCTCTAAATTTTTTTTTTATTATTTTTGATTTACAATATTTAAAAAAAGAACTCCATAACCGGGACCAGAAAAGATTTGAACTTTACTGCTGTCAGCCATTATGTGTCTCAAAAGAATGTTGACCTTTATTGCTAGTTCTTAATTTGGCGTTGTTGTTCAAGAAGATTGTTGAAGCTATGGTGGTAATGTGTTATATTCGTCTGGTTAATCCTTAAATAAATTAAGCTTAAATTCTCTCTATTGTGTGACAAACGGCGCATGAGTGTTAAACTAAAGTGCAAATATTTTGTGCTGCCATCAATTTTCTATATTGCTGCTAAAAGATGAAGATTTTCCAGTTCAGAATTCCAACCAAGGCTTGTTGTCGGTGGCTTTGAGAAGTGTCAAATAGTCCTTGGCTCTTTGTACGGGGTCCAATTTAATCCCGGAATCTATATAAGTGTTAATTTAGTCACCAGAGTTCTATAATAAGAGCTAAATTAGTCATCATTGGGAACTATTTCAACCCATATTAAAAGAGCATGAGACTAATTTGACATTTTTATATACTCGGTAACTAAAATGACCCCATGTAAATTTATAGTCACGAGACTATTTGACACTGTACTCTGCATTAGAAAAAAAAATACAGAGAAAAGTTTGGAAGAGAGCATTTGGGAAGCTTGATTGTTCAATCCTGCTTTTCTCCCTTGCCACTTCTTAAGTTCATCTTTCTGATCTTCTTCCTTCTTGCAGTCTCCATTTATATGGTGATCAATTTAATTTTCTTATAGGGTTTTCTTGATCTGCGCATTACGCCTTGGAAAAGAAACCTTTTGACTAGATCTCTGGCAATTATCCCAAGTTTAATTGTAGCAATCATTGGTGGATCTGCCGGGGCTGGAAGGCTCATAATTATAGCATCGGTATGCAACTTCTATATTTCTTTTGGGTATGGCATTTACATACCACACAAATGCACAATCGTTACATATCTACATATGTAATACTAAACATAAATATTTATATGTTTGACACCCAAATTCTTTTTGTCACACCAAAAATACCAGTCTTACTAACTTTTTAAAAGTGAATCACACCATCTCATACATAGGTTTATAACACCAAAGTGTTATGAATAAAAGTAAGATTTATATGCATTTTACCATCGCAATTCACTTTGATACTGTCATTTGAATAAAAATACATACAACTTTGTGCAGATGATCCTGTCATTCGAGCTCCCCTTTGCTCTTCTTCCACTCCTCAAGTTCACCAGCAGTAAGAAAAAGATGGGCTCATATGCTAATTCTTTCGCAGTAAGTTCAAAGATCGATGAACAACTTTAACATAAGCATTTCCATCAACTGTAATAATCTTTTAGCGAAGCTTCTGCTTTTTTAGGTACTGGTTAAACTCATTAATTCTTACATTTAATGCAGACTGCAGGACTGACATGGATTATAAGTTTATTTCTCATGGCCATTAATGTATACTATCTCATAACCAGCTTCGTCAAACTGCTATTGAACAGTAAATTACAAACTGTATCTAAAGTGTTTTCGGGAATTTTTGGCTTTGCTGCAATATTGGTGTATTTGGCAGCAGTCATATACTTGGCCCTGCGGAAGAACAGGAAAAATACTCAGCCATTGCTATCTTCAGGTTCTGAACTTGGCCGAGTACATGACAATGCTGGAATTGATGCTGAAACATCTATATACAGTCTACCAAGGGAAGATATAGTTGCCATGCAGCTTCCTCAGTGAAGACCTGTATTGGATCTGGAAGAAGTTTATTGTTATGTTTTGCTTAATTTTCTCTATCTGAGAGCATCTTATATTAAGCCTTAAAGTAACATTTGGTTAGATGGGATGGGTATTTGTAGAAGTTTTAAATGTAAAGGTATATTATTGAGATTATGCTTACTTCGGATGTGGTTTAAATTAGTATTTAGAAAAGCCACTCTGATTTGTTGTTAACTCCCTCGTTGATATCAGTTGGATAAGTCGAAGAAATTTTTCTATCAAATTTAAGAAAACAAATTGCGTTCTTTGGCAAACTTTTTGATATTCTGTATTAGAATGTATTTCTTTTCTTTTCTTGTTTTTTTTAATCATAGACTTTTTCTAAGAGGCTCATTTAGTTTTATAGAGTCGCCCCATGTCAACATATGTGGTGGTTCTTATTGTTGCTTGAAAGTTTACAGTGATAGACTAGCATCTTAAAGTTGTATGAGATTTCACGGGCACAAAAAGTTGAAAGTGCCAAGCATGGCACAAATATATTTTTTGCGAAAATTTTGTACTAAAAAAACTACGTGAAGAAAAGTTAGATGTTGAGGGTTGATGTATTAGGAGTTGGAAAGCATTGAATAATGATTAATTGGGAATATCTAAAGTTCAATGATGATGGATGATCACCTTGGTCTTTATCATTATAGGAAGAGAGATTCGACAAATGATAAAGTAAATGTTGAATATCAATAACGGGTGAATTTTGGATATGGCTTGTTTGCAAGTTTGAAGTGACAATTGGTGGGGAACATTGGCAATCAGATGATAATGAATGATTAGATTGCTATCAGCAACTAGGAAAACAAGCATTAGACATCAATAATTGGTGGACGTCAGACATTGATTACTTCCAAGAATCTAGTGACAATTTGTTAAGCATGTTAGATATAAGTTGGGTGATGATGGCTGTTGGTTTAGTTATTTTCTTAATAAGAGAGGAGGCTAGGTGATCAGTAAGTCCAAACTTATACTTTGGTAGTTGGATGTGTACAAGCTTTTAGCAGAAAGAGGAAAAAGAAGAAAGATGACTCTAAGGGTACTATATAAATATATAAATAAATAAATAAATATATATATATATATAAGCTGAGTTGGCATTTATTGCATCATCGTAAAACTCACTGTCACAAACATCTTATATACTAGTATTTATTCTTGAAATTATACACATAGTAGGATGGATGCCAGTTGGGTCGAAAGGTCTTGATTTCTCCAGATGGTGAGGTTCGGCGGACAACAGACAAGTGGAGCAGAGGTTGTTACAGCCCCCCTCAAGCTGATGATTCGGCCATAAATGTTAGCTTGATATTCAGTTGTTGAAAGTGAGTATTGGAGAGAGCCTTTGTAAAAATATTGGCGAGCTAATCTTGAGTGGCAATGTGATGAATAATGAGTTGCTTTTGCTGTATGTAGTCTTGAATGAAATGACAATCAACTTCTATATGTTTGGCGCTTGCATGAATGACAGGATTGTTGGCAAGTGCTATAGTGAAGACGTTGTCACGGTGAAGTGTTGTACGTTTAGATTATGGGTAGTTGAAATCAGCCATATAAGGTTCGCGGTAGCATAGGCAAGGGCACGATATCCGACATCGGTAGAAGATCAAGCAACATTTACTTTTTTCTTAGTGGACCAAGCAATTGGTGTTTTGCCAAGGAAGGCACAGTAACCGGAAGTGGATTTGTGGTCATTGAGGTCACCGACCCAATCAGAGTAAGAGTAGGCTATGAGGTGAATAGGAGAGTGGTAAATATGGATGCCAACAATGGTGGTTCCATTAAGGTAGCAGAGAATGCACTTAAGTTGTTGAAGATGATGATTAGTTGGTTGTGGCAGTGTTGGGAGGTAAGATTGATGGCAAAAGCAATATCCAGACAAGTGAGAGTGAGATGTTGAAGAGAGCCTACGATTTGGTGATATGTGGTTGGATTTGGGAGAGGAGTGATGTCAGGTGGAGATGATGGTATTTTGGGTGAGCAGTGATTGGGGACCGGTTTGGAGTTGAGCATGCTTGCAAATTGAAGAATCTCGATGACATCAGAGGATTGAGATAGGTGGGGGCCATAGAAGGCATTGGTTGTGTGGATGCCGAGAAAGTGAGATGGAGCCCATGAAGTTTAATAGGAAATTGGGTTTGAAGTTTGTTGATGGTGGAGTTAAGTAGTATGGAATCAGAGCTTGTGAGTACCATGTCGTCTACATATATGAGTATGTAGAGATGATGGTGAGCATTATGTAGACAAAAGAGTGAAGGGTTGGCAGAGCTGGGCTGAAAGATAAGGGTGTATAGTTAGGAGGATTCTGTGGCAAACCTTTGATGTGGAGCTTGCTTGAGTATGTACAAGGCTTTTTTGAGAAGGCAAGCGTGATTGCGATAGTTAGGATAGATGAAACTGGGTGGTTGGGACATGTAGATGGTTTCAGTGAGATGACCATGTAGAAAGGCATTGGACACGTCAAGTTGAAGTATGGGCCAATGATTTGTGAGGGCAGTTGTAATGATAACACAGATGGTTGGTAGTTTGGCAACGTGACTAAAGGTTTTGGTGTAGTCAAGGCCTTGTTGCTGTTTAAAGCCTTGAACAACGAGGTGTGATTTTATAACGGGAGATAGTGCCATGTGGTAGGTCCATTTGGAACCAAAGATGTTGTAGTGAGGTAGAGAGGAGACAAGTTTCCAAGTAATTTGTGATTTTAGGGTTGGAATTCAATGGACATTGCTTCACCCCATTGAGGATATTTGATGGCAGAGGAGTAGCAGGTTGGTGTGGGGATGAGATGATGAGTGAGGAAGGACCCCATACATCCGAGTGAACTACTTCTAAAGAATAAGAGGTAGTAGAAGTGGAGATATAAAAAGGGAGCTTGTGGATCTTAGCTATACTGCATGAATTACAATGTAATTGAGCTGAATTACATAAAGCAAGAAATTGGGAAGCTATGATGGATTGCGTTCTTGGTGACGGATGCCCGTGACATTGATGTCATAGTTGTGGAATATGTTGGATGGAGACATGCTATATTTGTGGTTGGCCGCACGGAGGTGGGAGGATGCACCGAGTATAGATCGTGGATATATGGACCTTTAAGACGTATGTGATTTGACTTGAGATCGGAGATGTGGTAGCCATCAAAGGAAAAGGTGATGGAGCAAGAGTTAGCTTTAGTTAACTTGTGAACTGAGATAAGATTGTAAGTTAAGTTTGGAATGAGGTAAAGATTAGAAAGGTAAAGCTTACTCGAAGGTGTGGGTTGGATCCCTTAGCCAATTTGAGAGATAGGGAGTTGTTGACCACTGCCGACCAAGTTGGTGTTGTCTCCTTGGTAAGTTTAAGGCTGGATAAGATGATTTGGTTCGGCCGTTAGTTGTTCGGTGGCACCACTGTCGAGGTACCATTTGTTGTCATTTGATTCAGTGTTCGTGGTAACAAGGGTTGTTGGCGTTTGATAAGATTTTTCATGGCGGAACCAGCACTTGAATGCTTCATGTCTAGACTTGCAACAAATTTGGCACACTGTAGGAGAACAATTGTTGTGGTTGAGGTTGTTGTTGGTCTTATTTGGGCTAGATGAGGATGCATTGTGTTGACCATTTGATGAGTAGTTATTGGAGCAACCATTACCTTGATCGTGAGATGCAAATAGAGTTGTTGAGTTTGAGTTTTCCTTAAGCGCTTTGTTTGCTAGATTTATTCTTCACTGCATAGAAGGGCATATTGATCGTCAAGGGAGATTAGGTGAAGGGTAGTTTAAATTGTTGTTTAGAAAGCATGGTTTGTCGATGGCAGCCCATTGAGGGTGTAGTGGATGATATATTCTAGATCGAGAGTAGCTCTTGCAGTTGCAAGAATATCAACCTTTACTTTGTATTGATTCATATATTTGTTGAGCATTGTGAGGTTATGAAGTTCATTTTTCAATTGGATGATGTGAGACTAGTAGGAGGATTGAAGACGGTGTTCTATTGCTGGCCAAATGTCATGACAAAATTTAAGTGTAGGAGATAGGTTATGATAGAAGGAGAAATGACGAAATAAGCAGTTAGACTTTTGTTGAGCAACATCCATTTAGTGTAATTGAAATTGGGGAGAAGACTTTCTGTGACATCTGAGATGTGTCGAGGGGGATATGAACAAGTGCCATCTAAGAAACTATCATACCCATTTGCATGATAAGGTTTCATGACTTGCAACTTCCAGGTGGGATGATTATCAGTGGTGAGCAGAGTAGAGACGAGACATTGAATATTGCTCAAGATGAATTTGAGTTGAGAGGGAACTGGGTTGTCGATCGGTAGAGTGGTGGGCTAGGATGCATTGTTAGCACCAGAGGAGTCAGTTGAAGAGGAAGAAGCCATGCAGATTATCAATGTCAGAGTGAAATGTAGAGGATCGTGAGACATGTTCGCTCTAATACCATGTAGAAGCTTTTGGCAGAAAGAGGAAGACGAAGAAAGATGGCTGAAAGGGTAGAGCAAATTTTTTCATTTTTAGTAAAACTTAGTCACAAAAACTTGTATACAAAATGTAATATATATATATAAAAGCATATAGTAAAAGGTTTGTTATAAATTTAGTGGTAGGATGGATGCTAGTTGGAATCGAACAACCTTGATTTCTCCAATGGTGAGGCTCGACGGACAACAGTGAAGTGGGGCAGAGGTTGTTACAAGATGATATTGGTTGTTAGTCACTTGTAAGCATTGGTTTATGGTGTATAAGGAATGCTACAAGAGATGATAGGCGATTAGCTTGATCATTATTATAAGAGCTGAGATTGGATGTCTAGAATTACTATTGTAGAATGTTGGTGGCGGTGATAATTGTTGGGCTGAATTCAACGGTGAATGTTGAAAGTTAGGTAACAATAAATTATTAGATTGATCATTTGGCCGATGATTTAAAGATGAGTGTTGAATGTTAAAAGCTAGAAGACATGAGTTGTTGGCAGGCATGAGATATTAGGCATTGGAAGGTGTCATGCGACTATCACTGGATGTCTCCACTACATAACTGTTGCCTAAGATCTCGTAGGCATTAAACCCTCAAACTCTCACTTCGAAGTCTAGACTCTAAAAATTCATAGGACCCTAATTGCTTAACTCTACAACAAGCATTAACTAACCTTCCAAGGATCATCAAGCAAGCAAGTTGTTATCTTCACTTTCTTGGTTACCTTGGCACCTTCATATATGTATAAGAGATGAGTTTTCCAAGGAGTACAAAAACCTCTGAGCTTAAAGACATGAGTTGAAGAG